ACCAAGGACCCAGAGCGTGAAGAGCAGGCCGGAGAAGCAAACCGCGGCGATACACATGAAGAACGCAAACTCCACCTACGTTTGGAGTCAGTGTGCTTCGGAGATTCTTGAGGGCATTACTCACAATCATTCCTCGTAAAGCACTGAACGAAAGAGTATTATTAGAAGTTTTTGAAGGGTTCGAATGGACATACAGAATTATGACGTTGTGTTTTATCGCGAAAAACGCAAGTCTAGAGAGCAAATAAGCGCCCGACACTTTGTTCGGGTGTGTTTCATACCGGGGGAAGAGAATGCATGCGCCGCAAGCCAAAATGTCGAAAGCTAGCTCAGATGTGTGTGCTTTGAACGATGCATCAGTCCCCGAATAGATGAAGGGCGAGAACAGGTGTGCTAACCGTTTCCGGTACACAATCCTCTCATTCGGAGGCCGAAATAGATGAGAAAGATTATAAGAAACGCCGTGTCGAAGACATTCCACATCTGTGGAACATTGTCGGCGTTTATTTGAACACTTATCAGCCTCTTACGTTCGCAATATAGACTATAGAGGAAAATATGATGAACATGCACCAGAAGCTTGCTATGCGGAAAACTCACTTTGCCAGCCATGTTCACGCGTCGAGGCGTATTCTCCGAGGAGAAACGAGAACGCGAAAACAAGAAATACCCCTTCCCATTTTCCGATGCGATGAAAATCCTGATCTGATGAACATTAGTTGTTGTTACTGAACCCACCGTTATTTGACGTACTCGACAATGCAAGAATGAAAACAACCAAAAGTATGAAAAAGTTCACAAACTCCAGTATAGACCCGTATCTGGGTACACGGAGTCTGTAGTGGTCAAGAAAAGGAGCTGTACGCCCGTCGTAAACTTCGATGGCACGAGGTTTGTAGTTGTCTGAAAGGAGTGAGCGATTGGATACCGGGGAGTAGATGATGCGTCCGCTGTAGATGTCGTTCACGATGGTCTGCACGATCGGGGAAGACAAGAATACTTTTGCTTTCGTCTCTATGGCCATCTGCGCGTGGAGATTCATAAATCAAATCATGATGCAAGCGCACGCGTCATGGATGGAGACACCCACCTCGAGGGCGCTGCCGGGGTCATCCATGTCTTCTTCGTCACCTCCGAGCGCACTGCGGACGTCCGCAATGACCTCCAATGGCGCACCTGCTATGGGGCTCCAGCTGGTCGTCAGAACGGCAGCGAGAATCAGCTGGTCGGAGGCAAAGTGTCGGACGAGCTTCATAGCGAGGATTTCGCAGAGCATGGCGCGAGAGGCCATGACATTTGCATGCGCGAGGTCCGAGTCGGCGAGGGTGATGAAGTGGGAGCGCACGACGAGACATGCGTAGGTTGTCGCGAGATTGTTGAGCTTCGCATACTTGAAAACGAGCGGCCGTACAACAGCGAAGTTGATATCCGAAGCCGTGAGTTGTCTGGAAGATGTACTGTCTTAAAATGAAAATCCTCGGTGACCTGACTTTCACTCACTCCCATGTTAAACTTGTTTCTGGGGGAAGGAAAGGACTTAGAGTGCTTGTTATTGCTTCGAAATACAGCCATACCTATCGTTTCCTAGCCAACGTTTAGACTTCAACCCGACTTTCAAAGTTTGATAAAAATGCTCACCGACACATCTTTTTTGAGGTTGGCAATAATCGGGAAAACGGGTATGGAGGCAAGGTCTTCAGCAGATGGAGCAAGAAGGGTTTGGTCTTCACGGTCCATCAGGTACTTTCGTACGTCTGATTCTCCTGGAAGTTAGCTCCTCAGGTGATGGTAGGAGACAGGATGATGCGGCCGTCTGTTCATTCGGGGATTCGCGACGACTTTCCTGATTGGGAACTCCCGACAGACGGAAGCAAAGTGAAAAAGCTCTCGAGGAGAAAAGTGTATGTAGATAAAATATATTTCAAGACTTCTAGTGAGCTCTGCGATGAAAGAGATCTTTGTAGGCCTAAAATATGAAGAACAAGACGAAGTTTGAGAAGAGAGAGCTTGACACGATTCGTGAGATGAAGTACGCGCATAAGTCGGTCGCGTGTCTGGCCCGTTTTGAACGCCTTTGTTTGACCACATCCTTGATCCACTTTATTATTGTCCATGCCTCTTTCCGTCTCTCCATAATCTCCTTCCTGCTAGTACTCTCTCTCTCCTTCCCCCCTCTCCTCCTCCTCTCCTCGACGACTCCCTCATCTTGAACGATGGGCATTTTCTGTTGTTTCCCAGATCCCGTCGACTTTGATGGAGACGTCAACCTCTTCCACTTCGAGATGCATCGAGCGGTGGGCAAAGGAGCGTTCGGAAAGGTAAGTTGATTTCCTCTTCTCATTGATTTCGATCATTGACTAGGCCTTCGTGCGGTGTTTCCTTGTCGAAAGGTCCGGGTGGTGCAGCACAAGAAGTCGAAGAAGTGAGTGGCTGTTCTAAATCGTCGTTCTCCGTCGTTTCGAGGCACTTATTCCACGTTTCGTTCGTTCTGGAAAGACTTTACGCCTTGAAGTATATCGAGAAGGAGAAATGTACGAAACAGAAGGCTGTTGGGAACATCCTCCAGGAGAGGCAGTTGCTGGAAGAGGTTCGGGTTCTCTTCTTCTCGGCAACATTTGGGCGGCTAACGACGACTGCTTCCATAGGTCGACCATCCCTTCGTTGTCAATCTTCGATATGCTTTTCAAGACGACCAGAATTGCTTTTTCGTACTCGATCTAATGCTAGGGGGAGATTTGCGGTGTACGTGCTGGGAATATTTTCGTGATTTTATCTATTTTAAGACGTTTTATCCCCCCTCTTCAGTTCACCTGGAAAAGAACGGGAGGATTGAAGAAAAATGCGTTCGATTCTGGGTCGCGGAGCTGTCTTGCGCGCTTGCATACCTCCACAAGCAAGGCATTATGCACAGGTACGTACCACTGGCAGCTAAATTTATTTTGCGCGAAATTGATTTCGTCATTGCTGTCCTTCCCCGCAGGGACATCAAGCCCGACAACGTCTTACTCGACACTGAAGGCCATGCTCACGTCACCGACTTCAATGTAGCGATCCATTATTCTCGATCACGTCTACACACTAGCGTCGCGGGATCGCTTGCTTACATGGCGCCCGAGGTTTGCTCGAGGAAGGGATACTCGTGGCAAGCAGACTGGTGGTCTTTGGGAGTTTGCTCTTACGAACTTCTATTTGGGCGCCGGCCGTTTGAGGGAAAGACCGCGGACTCGTTAACTGCTGCGGTGGCCAAGGACAGTCTGCGATTCCCAGAACGAGCGAGCGAAGTCTGCAGTGCGGAAGGGATTCAGGTGATCAAGCAGGTGAATATCTCATAATCCACTTTCGATGGTCGTTAAGAATACTGACTTGGGCTTTCGTAGCTTTTGGATAAGAATCCCAAGAAACGTCTTGGGTGTACTCCAGAAACCGACGATGAAATGGCCGTTGTTCGAAGTCATCCATGGTTTGCTCGATTAGACTGGGATGCATTGGAAGACAAGGAACTCCAAGCCCCCTTCGTTCCGGACGTGAGTTGCAATATTTGAAGGATGAATTCTGCTAACAATAATTTGGGACAGTTAAAGAAAGCCAACTTCGATATTTCGCATGAACTTGATGAATTCCTCATGGTCGAAAAGCCTTTATCGGCTAAGAAACGAAAGGAGAACGTTGATATCAATTCTTTATCGCCCGAATTACGACAGTTGGAGGAACAGTGAGTGGACCGTTATTCTTGGATTTGCTATTATTGACGCAAGATCAGGTTTACTATCTTCGACTATACCAAGCCACGTCGGATATCATATTACCCAGCTAATCAGTCGCTTTCGTTGGCGCTGACGAAGTCTTTGGATCGTGATGGCTCGCTCGATGGTCCTAGGAGCTCAACACAATCATATTCTTTGACTCTTGTCCCCGATGGCAACAATTCCGGCGACGATTCATCATCTCGAGCTGGATCACCCTCGTTGGCCAAACCCCACCAATTATTTATGCCTATACCCCCGGAACAGGCGCATGTGCGCAACAGTACCTCTTCACGACAAGAAGCCATCGGAGTCGCTATCACCTCTGATAGCCATCCTCTTACACCCCGGTGACGACACACACGTCTTTATTTACGATTTATACCGTCCAGTCGCTTTCGTTCATGATGGGATCCCTTTGCATACCTTCTTCAGTATTCCGTGCAAACTCTGGATGAACTTTCTAAGTATAATGTATTACCTACCAATCGCTCTGCTCTCTTCGCTTCATTCGACTTTCAGCAGGGCTGACTTTACCTCGATACGTCGAGTTACCCTAATTTCATTCTGTCGATAAAAAGTAATTCGTAATGTAGTAAAGTAGTGTACTTCTAAATCTAAGTCTTCTTGTTGGGTCAAGCACTGGTCACGCAAGCTATTGATGCAACCCTCTGAGTACTCACGAAGTGCAACGAAATAGACTTTTTACATTTGACAGGAGAAGAAGCGGCGAAGGACAAAAAAATATCCCTGTTCCCGCTGGGTTTCGCGGCGGTTTGAGAGGAAAATCCCGTCGAGACCAGCCTCTCCTGATCGAAGGACGAGGGGGCGGAGGTCTCGCTCTCCTCATCCATCCACTCCGAGATCCAAACGCGTACGTAGCCCGTCCCTCCGCCGATGACTCCCCTGCGCAGTCCATCATCTGTACTGTATACATTGTTGTTTTATAGTGTACTTGTAATCTGCTCTTTGTGTTAGTCAAACTACTTGTATATAGGTTCGCTCATACACCACCAACTTTTCCATTTTCAACCTCTGACACATTTTCTTTCTCCCTTTCTTTGTTTGATAACGACCAAAACCGTGCATTGTCATTTATTATAAAATGACCCTTGTACATTCAATTTTGTGCTCTAATATAAGAAAACTCCCTGTCTCAAAGAAAAGGTACAGCACTCGAAATTTCTCCAAAAACCTTGCACCGCGCGGTGCTCGCTTTGGCTATCAAAATCATACTTCTAGACAAAAAAAAACCCCTGTTCCCGCCGGGCTACGATCCCGGGACCATTCGTGATTCGTGAAGAAACACCAAACTAGGTGTGAGACGAACGTGCTACCACTACACCACGGAAACGATGTCTGGAGGCTTTGTTGACCCCTAATAATCTTTTGTTGGGCATTCTCATGGTTCCCGACTTCGCACGAACTCTTTGTTTTCGAACTTTTGAAACGTTTCCCTCTTACCCCCATCCCAACTTCACACCGCTCTGTATTCTTCCTTGTTATGTCTGTAATATTGTCGGCAGGACGTACATGTAGCTCTAAGGCCTCCGTTGGTCGTTTGAACATTCTAATTCGTAAAGTACTATATACGATTACTGGTACGGGAACTTGAAGCGAAGAAGCTAATCTCTGCCAATTTCTTTTAGAGGAATACATCTCATCGTACCGTCTCGAGCACGGCCAGGGCCAGGTCTACCGATAGTAAAAAATCCGATAGAGCAGTTCCTAATCCAATCCCGGCATGCTTTCTCCGGGGAGGGACATCGAAAGGTATCTTCATCCATCGAAAATACCTTCCATCGGATCGAAAAGACTGGGATTCAATATTCTTGGGAATCATGGGTTCACCAGACCCCGAACACGGACGTCAGCTCAATGGAATGGGTGGTGGTGTCTCCAGTCTATCCAAAATATGTGTCTTAGGAGAACCGAGCGATCTTCAGAAAGCAGCTGGTATCGACGTCGAGTATACGTTCGCCCAGGTCCCCATTCGCGACACCACCGTCGACTACTCCGGAAATTGTGGGAACCTTTCCAGTATGATTGGTGTTTGTGCTGTTGACTTCGGTATCTGCGAACCGAAGTTGAAACCTGGAGATGAGACTTGCGGGACGGTGAGGTCGTTCAACACCAATACGCAGAAAGTTGTCGACACGGCGTTTCCTGTGTCGCGCGAAGCTCATAACCTCCTTCCAATCCTTGATCTCCCCCAAGCCGCTGTTGCTGGTGTACCAGGCAAATCCTCTCGAATTGATCTTGAGTTTGTTTCTCCGGGTGGTTCACGGACGGGCAAACTTTTGCCAACAGGCAAATCCGTCAACGTCCTTCGATCAAACTTATCACCGAGACTACCGACTGATTCTGGAGCCTTTCGTGCATCATTAGTAGATGCAACGAATCCCTCGGTTTTTGTTCTCACCGAGGAAATAGGGCGCGCGCTCGGCGTAGATGACGTGGATTTTACGCATCCTGCCGTCGAAACAATAATGGAGGACCTCCGGCAGTTGGGAGCGAAGGCTATGGGCCTTGACATCAACGCAAAGGCTCAGCCAAAGATCTGCGCAATCGGTCCTCCAAAGCCCGACTCCAATGTGCCAGCAGATCTTGTCGCACACGCATACTCAATGGGCGTTTTGCACAAGGCAATCCCTATGACACTTGGGCTCTGCCTCGGGGTCGCTGCGCAAATCAAAGGCACAATCGCTTGGGATATAATATCTCAGAGGAACGGAGGTCCTCCGAGAAAGTCGAGCGATAAGGCAACGACGAAAATTCAGCACCCTTCGGGTGTAGTTGAACTTGGTGCAGCTTTCTCAAAGGAAGGTGAAGTAGAAAGTGCTATGGTTGTGCGCACAGGTCGAAGACTCATGGAAGGGGCTGTCTGGTGGTAACCGATGTGGTATGTGAAAGTCTGGTCGAATAGATTGTTACAGGTGCTAACACTCCAGGTGCTCTCGTTTCACTGTTCAACGGCACAAAGATCATTGGGATAAATCGATGCTCAGATCATGAAATTTCAATGCTGGAGAAAATCGAATGCATGAGGTGTACATATGCTATGGTATTTTCTCAGAGTCTGAAGCCCTCGATGTCTACTTTTTCATCCATCCGTAAAGAGGCGGTACAATGTGACTCGTTTGCTCGTTTCCACAGTATTGATTATACTTACAGTTATAATTTCATCCCCTCACACTCATCCCATGTCCCAAAATCCAAAGCATCTAGCAGATTAGCTAGTAATTGTTAGGAAATGGTGAGTGTAGAAATTCTTGCGCTGCCGAAAATCAGAAGCTCATCTATCATCATATAGCCTCACAGTCTGCCAATACGCAAATGCATACGAGTAGGTGACATCCCAGTCGTGATCACTGATGAAAGTGATGTTTTCGAGGGATATACTTCGTGGTAGCATTATTGCCACTGGGAAAACGACATATCTCTCGATAAAACCCGCATAATATCGTCCCCGTTTCACATCCAAACATGATGGTCGACTGATTCGATGTGCTGCGCTGATATTCCTAACATTTCTATTCGCAAAGACAACGAGTTGGCTCGCTGTGACTTCGGATTATCCCGTTGCCGAGGTGCGGCATCACCGCCACGGATTTTGATACCGTCGAGTTGGGGCTCATGGTGCCATCTCTCTTTCTTCACACATTGACGACGTCGACGCTGTCCGCCTTGCCATCAAAATTATGGACATACCAGATGAGCTCACTTTCAAAATTCTGGAGCTTGCCGTGGAGGAGCATGACTACAGTGACAACGCGGCTTGGTGCGACGGGGCAGTCACCGATTGTCAATGGAGGCTCACAAAGCGCACGAAACCCCGAACTGCAGACAGCTCTGAACAGCCCGCCACGGATGAGATTGAGACTGTTGCCAAATTTTCTGACAATCGGGGAGTTTACCAGGGACAGATAAAAAGCTCTATGGTGAGCAAGCTGGTGAGTTGGGGTTTCGAACATTCATCGGGTTTTTCTAATCGATATTCTCAGGCAATCATTCTGACCTGCAAGCGTTGGTATGGATTGGCAATAGAGCTTATGTACCGAACAATTGTCGTTGGAAAGAAGATCTCGCTGGCTCTGCTTATGGAAACTCTGGAGACGTACAGTGAAAGGGGGAAGTCGATCAGAGGAATATTTCTTTATCACAATCCTCGATTTGGCCTCTGCGATGTGAAGCCAGATGACATCGATGGTCTGCTCGTTCGGCTTCTCCACCTCAGCCCTAATCTTCGGGCGCTCGATTTCGAACCTTATGAAGATATAGGTGTCGCATTTTTGCAGAATCCAGAATTGCTCAACGCAATTCAATCCCTCACTGCTCTCAAGTTCGTGTCGTTGTACATTGCTTTCGAGACGAAGGTGCCCATGGGCGTCGCGTTTTCGAAAATGCCTGGTCTTCTATCAGCTCGTCTCGAAAACTCTTCTAGCTCGACAGATAAATATGTGGACGCGGACGAAACCTCACCCCATATCTACATACAGGCCTTGGAGGAGCTTGCCTTATCACGTCCTTCAATCCATACTTTGAACTACATGGCTACATGGGCGATGCCCAATCTCAAGGCGCTGGAACTTGATCTAGGGTTCTCGGAATCCGTGGATGACGTCAACGCATTTCTTCGCGTTTACGGTGGGGGTCTACAGATTCTAAGTCTGGACGCATTCTGCGATTCTACGACGACCGTAGACATCCTTTCTATCCTTTCAATGTGCCCCAGCCTCACAACATTCACCTTCAACTTAGATTGGACATTTCGGGTTCCGCTCTCCCCCTTTTCGCACCCGAATCTCACCCGCATAGGTTTTAACACACAGGGCTCACTTTTCGTATTTGCGGAACCTGATTTAAGCAATCCGTTCTGGAACCATGAACGTCCCCTGAGTCCAGCGGCTATCGAGAACCTATCCAATCTCGATAGAGTCCATTTCCCCCGCTTGTCGACGATACGTGTCTTATCTGCCCAACCTCTAAGACAGTATATTCGTCAAGGGGGGATGAGTGGTTTGGACTCTTCTAAATCTGCCGCGTGGATCTCGTTGTCTCAGAGATGTAGCTCTGAAGGAATTTGCATAGAAGATGCGGCAGGGAACGATTTTGGGAAGAAACCGTTCGGCGACGAAACAGAAGATGGGCCTTTAAAATATATATTTTCGTTCTGACACGTCCGAGGCAAATAAATAAGAAGGTGAGTTCTATCCTTACTTTATCAACCTTGGACCCTTTGAATGCTAAGACCGTGTTCAGAGCTCTTTCGAATTAGTATCAGGCCTGTGGATTGCATGACTGTGATGGAGTAAAAATGTATCATAGTTATAATTATTTGTTTATCGGGTGAAGAACCTCTAGATCTTCTCGCTACCCCTCGCTTTATTATTGCAATAAATGAATGCACTACTGATGATTTTGGATCTGGTGTCAGTGGTGCAAAACGTTCGATCATCAAACGCGTAAAAGCCGGCCCTAAACACCACCCAAATTTTTCACCGCATCGCACCAACTTCGCTCCCCGTCTTCGACCAACGACCGACGAACTGAACGCTCAGCTCACTTACTTGAAGATTTCATAGAAGCATTCAAAATGTGATAGAAGCCATACACCGAGTTTCAGCAAAGCACGAAGGAAGGGAAGGTGATATTTTATGGGTCTACGGTGCGTTGGTGACGACCGTCGGAGTCAATGCAATTTGGGGCTAACCATCTTTTCCCTCCTACACCCACCGTCTACGCGCTTTCACAATATTGCGGCATTGCGAATGTCAGTCAATAAAAAAACCAAGGCGGATGTCGAGGTGAGCAAACCAAGCAGCACTGCTATTCCAGCTTCTGAGACCGTTTTCGCGCCAAAGCTTGTCAAGTGTGCTCGACGAGGGTCGATAGCAGACATGAAAGCCTTGCTCGAGAAGTTGGACACCGTCTCGCCGGCGACGAAGGCGACGGCTTTAGACGTCTTTCGCTTTCACATATATAAACCCTGTATTCCGAGGCCGAACGAGGAGACCCAGGAGGATCGCGTAAATCTCGTTATGATGAGCCTGACAGGACTGGGCACGCTGGGAACGACCTTCTTCACGAACGTGGTGCACACCAAGCTCCTCGCGCGGTGTTGGTCGGAAATTATCAGGTGGTTTCGATACCTTGCCGACCTATCCACCGACGATGACATGTTTCACCTCGTGGTTGCAAGTACAATTGCATTGTTCCGGGACTCGAAGCAGAACCAGGCCCTCCTCATTGACCGCGACTTTTTCGACTTCGCTATTCACCAATGGGATGAAGATACAGGAAAACACCGTCATGGATCCATGCCCTTGTCGATGATCAGTAGTCTTTTCTCCA